ACTTCTGCGTATGCCCAGAACTGAGCACTGGCTCTGTCTGGGATGAAGACTTAATTTTTGAGGTCTAACTCATGCTGAAATATGCTCTGGGTACACATGAGTGTGTTCCTGGACTTTCTTTCTTAGAGGTAGGTAGCTGTTGCTCAGTCATCACCCACACATGGACATGATGGAGATCCCTTAAAATGGAGCGCTAACTGCCACCAAAACCCACCACCTAATCCCTACCAGCAGCTGGTGATGTTTACAGAGTATATTCCGTGTTGGTTTGATGCAAGATACAGAAATAGAGCTGGAAGCAGGAACAAGCACCTAGGTCTTCCCCTCTGAGAAGATGGTACTAACCGCCAAAAGTCATGTTTGTGTCTGTTCCTCATACCCAGGAGCAGCCTACTGGTCTGCGATCTTTCCTTTTTTCTCCCACTGCTTTGATGGAGGAGCAGAGACTGTCCTCATGCAGGCCAGCCTAGGGCACTTTCCTAGCAAAGAGAAAGGGACATTCATATCCCCTCTTAAATAAAGGAGGAATTGTAACCATTTTCCTTCCTCCTTAGGCAAGGAGTGTCCTTACAGGGAGGGGCAGTGGCAGCCTTATCCCTTCCCCATGTTTTAGGACCAAGGTATACTCCTCCCTGAGAGATTCAGGCAATGCTGAATTGTTAAAACCCCCAGTCCTATATTAAATCTAGCCCTTCATATCAGATGGATGTGCCTGACCCTGGAGCTGGCATCTCCTGTTGGGTCAAGGTTGCTCTCTGAGGAAGAGAAGGATGATGACAATCCTGAAAGAAGATATATTGATGCCCAGAAGGAGTCTTTGTTACAACTGGAGATGATTCCTAAGTGCAGTGAAAGGTTTAGGAGCCCACTGGGCCAATAAGCAGTGTTGTAGCTACTGGAAACACCATGAGGAAGGACGTTTCTATTGCTTCCCTCCTGTGGTTGCTCTGGCTCTGGTGGAGCAGACCCTTGGACAAGGGTTGAGCATTCAGGAGACTGTACCAAGGCCACCCGCTCACATCAGCTGAGCTAATCCAAAAATGTGATGGTATTCATCCCTTTTTTCTCCTGAAAATGTCACTGTTTTCATGAATGGAAATTAATGAGCCTGCTTGTGTCAGCGGGAGTCCTTGCATGGAGTTCAGTCTTGGGATATAAGGAATGATGTAAAAAGTATGAGAAAAATAAAAAGGTTTTGGGGTGATTTGTCAGTATTGAGAGACTGTGGATGAGTATTTAATAGAGCAGAAAACATTAAAGAAACACTGGAGGAAAGAACTGCTGATAAGCAAAACAAAGATCCCTGTACTTCTGACAGTTCATTTCAACGGTAATGTTCTGCTTTCACCCCGAGCTTCTCAAATACTCTCCTTTGTGTCATACTTTTCTTTTAATTTTGAGAAATTTATAGAGTCTTTTGCTGTTTACTTATCTCAGCCGTGTTGCCCATGCAGTTAAATTCTGAAGTGCAGATCACTGTGTTAGAGGGAAGGGTGAGTGAAACAGGTTAATGACAGTTGCTAGTCCCAACAAACTAATTACAGCAGCAAGTGATGGCACCAAAATAGCTGTTGCAGATGTGTTCTGGTTTTTTATTGCTATTATTTTGTTCTTGATGGCTTTAAGTAACTGAATCTTTTTTCAAAATTGGATCTTTTGGCCACTGAGGTGTAGATCGCATTTACACAGAGATCAGTTTATCAGCCCAAATGCTGGAGCCTCTCTGCCCTGACTTAACTGGCAGTGTGAGCCAGGAACTGTCCAGACAGCTCCAGCTCTTCTCCTCTCTTTTTGTCAGGGTATTTATCAAACCGTCTCTGACAAGATTTTACTTTTTTTGTTTGTTTTTCTGCTAGATGGGGTTAACTTGTATCTAGGTCACTTGCTGTCATTTATTTTTAGTTACTAAGCTCTGAGGTGGCCTGCAGTGCTATGCTTTATGGCCTGTGTGCCTTTATGGCCAGGGAGCTGTTTTGGTGGTGATACTAATTTTTAGCCTCTAACAGAAAAGTGAAAAGGGAAGTAAACAGTGAAGTAGAGTGTCAAAGTTTGTTGCTGATGCAGCCTTAACCGGAGCAGGAAAATCTAGCACCGGCTACAGAGAAATGGGGAGTCTTCTCAGGATGTTGAGCAACCAGATAACAAAATAGCAAATAAAATCTAGTGCTGATAAAATAAAGGATGTGTAAGGGGGAAGAAAAACTCTGCTTAGATAAGAGGAGCTGTAAATCAGCCCTTTTCACATAGATATTTTGAGTTATGTGGCTAGGTCATGGGAAATGGCTGGTGATGGCAGAGGAGGTGAAGAGGATGTTGGAGGACCTGTGCCGTGGCCATGGACACGTGGCCCTGCTCCCACTTCTGGGTGGCAGCCGTGGTGGCAGGAGGTGGCTGGGGGTCCTGAGCGTGGGTGAGACCTCAACACCACCGAGGCAAGAGCCGTGCAGAGGCGGTGAAAAGGGAACTGGTCGCTCGTGATGCAAGAGGAAGGCGCACTGAAAGATATTGTCAGGTGGCTGGCTCAAAGCAACAGTGACACGTCTCTGAGCAGTGTACGTATAACTAAAATAGAGAATTCACTGCCACGGGACTTAAGGGATCGGTGGGTTGCGTGTATGTTGGTCAAGCAGGTTGGAAAAGACCATTTCATGGCTCTGGAGAATGATGCTTTCAGTGCAGCTGCAGGAAGCCCCCCAACCAGTGGCTGAGGGTGGCTGTGCCCAGGCAGGATTGCTGCCCCCAGCCTGGTGTTTCAACGCTCTCCCCAGACCCACCATCAGCAGCAAGTGAGCTCTGATCCGGCTCAACGCAACCACCTTGTGAGTGTGTAAAGAGGACAACGGGAAGAAGGGCAGGCATGTGCTCTCCCACTTCCGTAGCAGCCTGCACATGCAAGTACAGTTTTATGTCTCAAGGTGCAAAAAAAAAAAAACGCAACAAACCCTGTCATGTCTCTTTTCATGATGACAATGACACAAAGGAAGCTGTGAGAAGTGGCGCCCGAGGTGTGATGAAGTTGCCTGCAGCTGCTGCAGGCAGCGCTTGCACTTTCCGCGGCTGTGTGGGAGTCGATGGAAACGGGGGGGGGGCTGTGATGTGCAGCATTCGGAAACATGCTGAAAGCTCTGCCTCCACCCAGAACTGTGTCATCCTCATTCACTTTGTTTCATGTATAAATTAGACTTCCGCAAAAAACTTGATGATGCTTCTGAACAGCTTAAGGTCCCCAAGCATCCCCCTAAGACATCCCCTGGGTCTGAATTGTTATCACAATACCTTTTTGTTTGAGCTGGCGCAAATTAAACCTAACTCTGTGACAAAAAGCCACTTGTCACTTCAGCACAGTCAGCCTGGTGAGGTTGTTGGCAGAGACCTTGACGCTTTGCTTCTCAGCAATAACAGCCCTCTCAGGGGAAAGGTGCTTCTTGAGCAACCAGAGGAAATACTGCATGCAGAATAAAGGGGATGTTTTGGGGTTGGTTTTGTTCTCAGTTACATTCTCATTCAGATTCCCAGTCCTGTGCTGTAGAATTTATTACTCAAAAGACTTTCTGGAGAAAAGATTTCTGTGGGAAAATCAGCTTCTGCCAGCTTTGCACAGGCTATCGGAGAACTGCAGCCGGACCTGAGCCAAGTCCAGGTGAGGAATCGGACCGTGCCTAGCACAGAACTTGAAGCTGGGCAGAAAAACAATCAAACAGCTTTTTTCTGCTGCTCCCTGCTGCTGCAGTGGCTGGGCATTACTTGTCTTCTCCAAACCTCCTGTGTGCCACGTATCATCCCCACTTGAGGCTTTCTGGGGTGGCAGAAATGCAGCAGAGCATCTTTCTGCTGGTATGTGATTGCGGGCCTCAAGCATGGGCTGGTATCATGGATCCCAAGCCATCAACAGGGGATGAAAGTACAACTTCTGTTAATCTAAGTAATATCTCAGTTCTCCAGATGTCCATGGCAACATCAGTCAAGGGCTTGTGAGATCTCTGCAATGGAGAGCATGGCCCAAGCAAATGCTGCCTGGAGCAGAGATGCGACAGCATGGGGGGGGCAGGCAATGTCTCCTGAATTCAGCTCATGTGAGCTACCATGACTGTTACACCAAACTTCCTGTAAAAAGAGACCGTTAATACTAATATGAATAAACCACATTGCTATGGCAGCAGGGGAAACAGCTCATGTTGCACCCACAGTATTTTCTAGCTGGGAAAACTTAAGCTTATTGAGGTTTTTCTCACTGAAGAATTTCTGAACTTCTGACACCACTTTATGTAACATCTTTTCCCCTCAGAAGCTAAAGGTAGCTCGGGTGGGGGGTGTAGGGGCCATGCTGCTCCCCTCCCATGTGGCCAGGGACGGGGGCCAGTGGCCAGAAAGGTTGGTGATGGGTTTGTGCCGGTGCTGGCCTTCAGCTATAGGAAGTCACACTGCCTTGGTAAATCTCTCGTGGGGGGCAGATGAGATGCTGCAGTTGGAGCAGTGTGTTTTGTCCCTTGCAAGCCAGCATTTTGCTTTTCTCCCCAGTGCAAGAAGGAGGTTAAAATAATTTTGAAAAGGCATCTAAATTGTTCTACAGATGCTCGAGAGGCGTCAGCAATCCAAGCTCTGCCACACGTTGGTCCATGTAAGCGTGTATTGGGGATGCAGGCAGGTACAGAGGGAAAAGTGAGCCAAGAATTACATTTTTTTAAAAAATGTTAAAGGATTTATCATATGCAACAGGAAATTAAAAAAAAATTTTTTTTTCATTGCTATGAACAAATTACGATGTGCTTTGTGGTTTCCATGAACTAGCAGTGCTTACTCAGCTGACACTCTGGTATAGACACACTGCTCAGACTCCTGTAGGGATGAGGTGGTGGAGTTTGGTTTTATTATAGAGAAGGGTTTTTAAAAAGAAAAACGTCTTTCTGTGTTCCAACACTCTTTAGGATTCACATAATTTTTCTACAAAATACGTATTTTTTTATAAATTAAATCTATAAAACAACATTTGTATTAAATAAAACCTAATACCATCACAGTATTTTTACATTTCAAAATGTAACATTTCACAAGTTCACAGAAAAATAAATTTTACAAGAACGTGCAAATGAAATACCAGTTAAGCCCAAAGCTTCTGTTGTTTGATTTTAAAAAAATTCTCATTAAAAATACATCCACATTTGAGCCTTTCTTAAAAATCTTTTGTAGTCTGTTGGGTGGCACCTTTGACTCTGCTTATAGTGAGTTTCCACTACAGTCAACTTCAGGAAGGTTTGGTTCATCTGACTGTGTTTTAATTGTACTGCTGTTAATGAAGAGTAGGTGTGATGGCGCAGGCTCAGTTATCAATGAAAGGGAAATAATTTTCCCCATCTTTGGTGAAAAGAGGACCTGAAGGGCTTGATGGATGTCTAGCCTTAATAAATACCATACCCTCAAAGCACAGCCCTGTGGTTAAGGCTTATCCAAGGCAGCCATGTGGCTCCCAGCCATGTGGCTTTTGAGCCAGAAATGGGAACTGGTGGCAGAAAAATAGTGTCTGAACGCTTCAATGACTTTGTGATTTGGGGGTATGTCATTTGTTACACCCCAAAATGCAGGCTTGGTTCATTATTTAAATGACAAGTTCTTTAGGGCCACCTTACGCTCCTTGTTCCGTGGTCAACATGGCTTGAGGCTGGCTCTTGGCACTCTCCATGGAAATTAGTCACTGCTGGATTGTCTTTTGCTTCAGAAATATGTAATACTGTGTCACCTACTAATTTTTAGGATCAAATTCTTTCTGCATTGCAAGACCTCAAAATCTTTGCTACCTCTTGCTGAAGCCAGGGTGCGTGACCAGGACATGTCCAGGTAGTGGCCCACTGGTGACAATGGGGCACAGCCTCACCTCTCGCCATGGGCCCACGTCATCCTCCTACTGCCAAAGCTGCCTGCTCCTGGCTGCCCAGCTTAGAAATAGGACCTGTGGGAATTATATGGTGTTATTATTTTCAGAGGAAGTTTGCAACTAAAGTGTTAAATCAACATATTTGCCATCAGGTTTGGGTTTTGGGGGTTCTTCTTTTGTTTTCCGCCAAGCCTCACTGAAATCAGCAGCTTGGCTGAGTTTTTGCTCTCAGTGTCCTGGGGAAAAAAAAAAATAAAAATGGGCCAAACCCCAAAACATAGTGAACATTTGAAGTCCTAGCAACTGTTTGGGGAAGGCTGGTGCTAGTAGTCCATGGTGTCCTCCCTGAGCATGTCTCTGGAGTGCTTCCTCACGTAGCTGAGGTTGTGGAGCTGAATGCTGTCTTGCAAATCCTGCCTGGAAAGGCGTCTCCTGAACTCATCTGTAGTAAAGTAGTAGATGACTGGGTCCACACAGGAGTTCAAGCTGGCAAGGCATAAAGCTACAACGTGAAACACCGAGATCACCTTCTGGACACAGCCGTTTTTAATCTTTTTGGTTTTGACAAAGAAGTCTAGTGGAAAGCTGATATGATAAGGTGCAAAGCAAATCAGAAACACCACAGCGCAGGTGAGAATCATCTTTAAAGCCTTTTTTTTCTCTCCGAGGTCATGTGAAGCAGAATTTTTTTCTTTTAGAGATAAGATAGTCTTCCATGAGCAGTATAGGATGATGAGTAGGGGTGTTATGAACCCCAGCAATTCACCTATCGTCATCATTGCAATGGAGATGGGAAGGTCAACCTCCTTTACTGGGAGATCCACAAAACACGTGTTTTTAGCATCCTGGTGAAGTCTGAGAAGCGGGAAAGGCAAACAGCCAATGCAGACCACCACCCACCCGATGATGCTGATATACACATCACAGATACGTCTGCAGTCGCTGAATTTGAATGGGTACATAAGAAACAAATATCGTCTTACGCTGATGCAAACCAAGAAGTAGATGCTCGCATACATATTGACGTACTTCAAGTAGAAGCAAAGCATACAGAGACCTCCTCCAAATTCCCACGTCCCAGTCAAGTAGTAGAAAATTCTCAGGGGCAAGGATAAAACCTGTGCTAAGTCAGCAATGGCTAAATTGATCATAAATATTATGGCCCTTTTAGTCTCTTTCATGTACCCGTAAAAGACCCACAAGGCTAATGTGTTTCCTATTAGTCCAGGGATCAGGATAAAAGTATACGTAATTGCATAGTAGGGCTTGAGGTCTGTTTCGCTGCAGCTGGAACTGTTCATCATGGTTGTGCTCCACATCGGTGCTCAGTCCTGGCATGATAACATGTTCCTCACTCCCATCCTGCAGCCAGGTTGTCCCCAGGTTGTTGGTGCTTAAATAAAAAGGTTCAGCCCTGGCATCCGTGTGTGAAGCTTCGCTTACCAGATCATTGTGTCCACTCTGGGGAGGAGCTTCATTATAGGCTGAGTGAGTTAATTAAGGTCGAGCTCGTGTGCTTTGCTCATGCTCTTTGTCAGAAGTTACCAGACCTTACTCTAGTCACTTGCAGGATTGAGGGAGCAGGGATCCACACCAGGAAATACCTCATTGTGTGCCAAAGCAGTCGACGGTTTGTCACCGGAGCTGCACCTCTGTCACCTTTTGGGTGGCATTTCAGCCACTTCTCTCAACACAGGAGTTTGACAAATGATGTGGCCCCGCAGCTGAAAGACAGAAAGGTGCAGTTATAACACTGAAGGGAGACACGGGTCTTACAAAGCAGAGGGTATAGGAAAGCTTGCAAGAGTGGTCAGAGCATCTCTCTAACAGAAACAAACCTCTTGCTAGTGGCATCTGTGTGGTCTGCTCCTCTCCTGCCTGACAGTTGCCATGTCTCACCCAGTGAAGGGAGGTGCAAAACCACTGAAGAATAAATAGCAGATGTGTTTAACTGCCACTGCAAACCAGCCTCTGATGCTGTACTGCCAAGCAGAAGTCACCCCCAATCTCAGGGCATATTTAATTTTCCGCCAGGTTTCTGCAGCTGCCTCTTTCCCAGCTCCAGCTTTTCCATCCGAATCTCCCTTTACCGCCAGATGCATTGGTCTCCCCATGCCCAAGGGTGCAGCCAGTGCAGAGATGCTCCAGCGTGTTGTGCCTGCATCCCTCCCCGCTGCACTGGCACGGGCAGAGGGCTGCTCTCGCCTCACACAGCACTCAGGAGCTTCACGTTCCCCTAGTCTTCCCGGGAAAGCCCTTCAGAATCTTCCCACCTGCACCACACCTACAGGCAGCTGAGCAGATGATGGAACAAAATCTACTCCTTATGTAGTTGATCCTGACACACGCGCCTGAAAAATTAACATTTTCCACTGGTTCAGCTGCAGCTGCTGCAGCACAGAGTAGAAGTCTCAAGTCAGTGGCTTTCACTGAACCAGGGCCATCTTCTTAATTTATCTTTCATAAATATAATATAAAGCATACTTACAAGCAATCAGGGACAACTAGCTCACTTTCTAAACACTTTTTGCTGCAGAACCACCTGAATTATATTAAATTTTACTTTCTCATAACTGCTTTTTCTAAGCCTTTCCTTTACTCATCTTGAGCATGTGACTGCTGTAGCTGTTGGAAATACCAGATATCATCACTACGGTCACTGTAGGTGGACTTTATTTTAAAATTGTTTGCATGGTAAGCAGCTGATACTATCTGAATCTGTCAGATGAAAAAAACAAAAAACAAAAAACAAACAGATTTGATAAATATAGAGGAAACTCAGATCTCTGTCCAAACTCTCTGAGGTTTGCCTTTTGCTTCAGCATGAAGAATTGACCTACAGGTCTAAGTGTGAAAAGTTTGTAGGTACCAACCAAGATGCCAAAGGCACATTTATAAAGGCAAAATTATATCCTGCTGCCGTCCCTCATGTTTTTCCCGTGCTTTGACATATAGGCATTAGAATTGGAACATTTATTAATGAAGCGAATGTTTAGCACTTGTCAGTGTGATTTCACTGAAACTTTGAAGTAGCTTTGGGCAGAAACAGAAAATCTACAGAAGGAAACGGTTCGGGGAGCAGCTTTTCTGTGTCTATTTGTGTAGTTTCTCTTTCATACCATTGAATTATGAGTCCAATAAGACTGAGATGTCTTCTTTCTTCCAGGGAGCCACCATCTAACAGAACCAGTAGAGCAAAATGGCTCATGAAATAATCTCATTAAACTTCAGAAGCGACGATCAATAAGCCGTAGAGTTAATTAGCCTTCTGTTGAGAGACCTTCCAGTTCTTTTATTAATTCTCCGCCCAACTTCCGATGCACAAACCTGCATGACTAATTCTAGAAATGTTAGTAATGTCTTCGTCATGCAGCAAAACTAATTGGTGCTCATCTACTTGTTAGATTTTATCCATCGCTGGTGGGTAACTTGGGCCGAAGGCTTCAGTTTCCATTTGCTGGAGCTTGACTGGCACAAGTAACTGGGAGGGAGTTGTGGATGTGGCTGGTTTTTGGCAGTACCTGTCATGCCCTGGGGTTCCCTGGGGCTGCAGGGCTTGCCCTCAGCAGCTGGTTAACCCCTCTGGGGCTTCCTAACAACAGCACCTGTTTCAGGCATGTCCCCCCCTTCTCCTCTGTACTGGGATTGAGCCAAACCAGTTGGCCAAAACCAGTACATCCTCCCTGAGCGGTCGGAAATTGCCTTGCTGGGCTTGAAAAAATGCTGAGTCTAGGTCCAGGCAGAGCAGGCTGTGCTGAGGAAGCATCCTGAGCTGTTTAGTGGTACTTTTAGAGGATGGGAGGGATGCTCTCTTTCACGTTGTTTTTCCATGGTGATTGCTGAGGCCCTGTGAAGACATGCCCATCTTTACTGTTACAGCAAACTCCTCAGCATGACATGTTCAGGCTTCCCATCCAGGTCCTGGTCCTGCCAGAGTGTCGGAGCAAAACAACAACGTTGTAGGTCCCTGGGCTGTGACCAGGCAGTGGGCCTGGGTGCATCCTCTCACTCCTGATGAGCTCTTCTGTTCCTCCTGGCTCCCCAAATACCAGCACCATCCCCGAGGATGTGGTAGCCTGCCCAGCAGAGTAAGGGTGGCTCATGAGGAGCTGCACAGCTTTGCCTTGGATTGATTTTCACTTTTTTTTCACCCAGAACATCTCAACTTCTCACCTGAAACTTCCTCCGACATGCCAGCATCAAGGAGCTTGGGTGACTTTGCAGAGCCATTGCTCGCTGCCCGTACAGATGTCCCACTCCTGCTGATGCATGTGTGCTCAGGCAGAGGATGCATTTACAGGGGCATTTGCAAGATAAAGCCCTAAACCCACATCACCCAGCTCTTCCTTCCAATTATTTTTTTTAAATTTTGTTGGCTTTTTTTTTAAACACAAGCTTGTCTTTCCTCTCATCTCTTGCCCGAGGACTCCTATCACCCAGTCAGGGAGGCTGAATCATGCTCCTTTTCCACTGGCTTCGTTCCCGAGTAGGGAAATCCACCCTACCTCCATTGCTGGGCCATGAGACACACAAAGGGAAGGACAAGGTGCTGTCCCAGCCCATCTGTCTGTTCACAGCCCAGTGTGCACACACGTGCACACGAGCAATTTTTCCTGCTGCCCCCTCCAGTGTCTGCATTTCCCAATCCCCACTGCACAGCAACTCTCCTGCAACACCATCCTCTGTTCCCTCCAGCCCAGCCCCAGGGCAGGGATGCGCTTGCAGCACCTTCTGCCTCTCCCTGAGGCTGTAAAGCCATAGCACAAGGGGTCCCAGAAAGCCCAGCTAAAGCCGGGGAGCCGCGAGGACGCTTGCCCAGGGCACCCAAAACATCCCTGCGAGAGCAGCCACCCTTGGAGGTGGGGTAAAAAAACACAGCAATGTGAGAAACTGCACTTTGGAAATCCCATGCAGTAACATTGCAAAGTTCAGCCAATTGTGCTATGTAAAAACCAGCAGGATGCTAAAAAAAGCTCCAGAAAGAGGAAATTTTGTTTCATATGCTCTGCACTCGCTTCCTCTCAGCACAGGGGTCTGGCTGCGGTGATAGGTGTGAGACTCTCCTCAGGCACAGCTTCCTTCTTCCCCTGAATGTTTTTTCCCCCCACTATTTTGCCAAGGAGAGAGCCCACAGTCAGCCACGCCAGCACACTGGATGAAGACTTCTGTTTTGTATTTAATGAGTCAGAAACACCAGGTACATTTAGTAGCCAGGCTTTACAACCAGGGCTCGTTAAAGCTGGGCACATATTGTATAAAGTATTTTCCATATGTTGCGGGGCAGCCATATATCCATATGCCCCATATGAACAAGTGCAGGAGCTGGGGGTGCTGGAGCAGCCACAACACCCATGGGCCTGGGATGTGGGGCAGCTCTGCCCCATGCCCACCCCAGAGCCCATCACACCCTCCATGTGTAATCAGGCTCCTCACCTGAGGATAATTGTAACTGCCCAGGTCAGCCCAGGACCCTTGTTAGCAAATCCTGTGGTTTTTACCCCAGGAAGCAAAGCTACAGCAGCCATTAAAACCCAGCTTGGTGGACGAAGAGGCCCTTAAAGCAGTTTGGGGGAAAGCAGCCCGCAGCCAGGCAGTGTTTGTAGGGGCTGCCCCTGCTGCAGTGTCACACCTAGTCCCTTCTTGGAGCCCAGGTCCTTTGGGATGTTGCTCAACACCTCCTGCTCCCTCCCAGAGCTGGGGTAAGCGATCAGCCTGGCTGGATCTTGCCCCTGAGCACCGCTCTTGCAAGGACCGCTGCTGGATCAGGTGAGTGCTGGGTGTGTAGGCACACCGTGTTTAGTTTGGGGCTGGTATTTCTGCTGTAAAGGCACATAAAGTCTGTGGCAGAGGTGACATAGGTAGAGCAGCAGGTTGTGCTGCCCACGGCACCCTGGTGTCACCTGCTGACTTACCCTTCTGGGAGGAGGCCTGGGTATGTAGTTGACTGAGGCTTCTCTTCTATTTTTCCTCCTTCTCCTCCATGGCCTAAAATAAAAGGAGAATGTGCACAGGGGTAATCTCAAATAAAAATTTAGTTTCCTGCTGAAGCTGTGTAAGCAGAGGTGGTGTGGTGATGACTCTGTCCCTCCCTGTGCCGTCAGCCAGGGATGTGGGGACATGGGAGCTGGCCCAGGTCAGGGCAGTGGTGCCTTGTGCCAGGCTTCTCCCAGTAGCCACTTGTTTTCTACATCACCCGAAGTGCTGCTGTCCTATTTTGGGGAGATAACTACTAGTAGTAATAGTTAATAGGTATTAACTGAAAATGTAAATTGTAGAAATATAAACTGATCATTGCATAGGATTGCTTTTTAGTTCTTCTAAAAAATGTCAAGGGAGGATAAAGGCTTTTCTCTCCTGAAGCAGTTTTCTGGTATATTTTGGGGTTTTATATCTTCTTCCATGGGAGCAATGTTGTCTTTTGCTATACTAACTGTGGAGATTTCTCTCTTTTATTTTCTCTTTGGTAGCATCTGCCCCCAGAGGCCACAGGGCTTTTGTTAGGCATCCTTGGATCAGCTTTTTCATTTTGATTTAGTTGCAGGGTACCAGAGCAATTACCTCTTCATCCCATCTGATTTCTGTGGTTACCTGAAACGTGAGTCACTAAAGGTGGTGAATGTCTGTTCCAGGGGAAAAAGCTGTAAAACACCACAGGCTAGGACTGTGGGGCATTGGCAGAGCAGAATAAAAAGGATTCTTTCTATTTGTTCTTTCATTAATTTCTCAAGTGGGTCCAGAGGATGCTATGAAGATGACTGGGGTCTGGAGCACCTCCCCTGTGAGGACAGGCTGAGAGAGCCTGGAGAAGAGAAGGCTCTGGGGAGACCTTAGAGTGGCCTCCCAGCCCTTAAAGGGGCTACAGGAAAGGTGGGGAGGGACTCTTGATCAGGGGGTTTGGGGATAGAGGTAACAGTTATTTAGATTAGATATTAGGAAGAAATTCTTCCCTGTGCGGGTGGTGAGGCGCTGGCCCAGGGTGCCCAGAGCAGCTGTGGGTGCCCCCTCCCTGGGAGGGTTCAAGGCCAGGTTGGACGGGGCTGGGAGCCCCCTGGGCTGGGGGAAGGGGTCCCTGCCTGTGGCAGGGGGGCTGGGACAGGGTGGTCTTTAAGGTCCCTTCCAACCCAAACCAGTCTGGGATTTGCTCATCATTAAGGTAACTGAGCGCCCTGTGGCATGCCTATGCTCCCTGCCTTTCAGCATGTGCTGGGAGAAGCAGCATTGCTGCTGGCATCTGCTCAAGGGAGACTCCCCCTCTGGCACTGAAATTTTGGGAAGGGGCTGTGGGGCAGGAGCTCTGAGAGCTCACTGGGAAGAGAGGGTGGGGGGGGGGGGAGGTGGCGGCTGCGTGCTGGTGGGTGGTGAGTCAGGCTGGCAGGCAGCTGGGGACACCAGGGGGATTTTGGCTAGGTCAGTTCCAAAAATAGGCAGGAAAGAATAAAAGCTCTGGCTTAATGCCTTATGAAATATGCTGCTTTTGCCTTTTAATCCTTTGCAAAAGCTCTTGTCCTCCCTTGTTAATATCTATCCTGGTTAAAAAAGGGAAAATAAACCTGGAGCAGCAGTGTTGTGTATTAGCCTGATCCCCCATGCCTCTTCTCCCTCCCTGGCACACCCTGATGTCCCTGTTAGATGTGCATGGTAAGGAGCACCAAAGCTGTGAGTTTTCCACCCAAACTGTCAGCACACACCCCCCAGGCACGGCGCAGCTGCATGCCCACGCTCACCGGGCTGCGAGCAGAGGTGGTGGCACTGATAACCCTGCCTCCTCCCTCCCCCGGTTCTTGCGATTAAGTGGAAAATTGCCAGTGGAAAGTCAGCATACTGCTTCTTGTGAGGAACAGACCATTTAAGAAAATCTATTGGGCAAATACAGCGAGAGAAACCCAAGTGAGACCTGGAGTAATGAGTGAATTAGACCAGTTATCACCATGCTTGTGGGGATGGGGCTGTATGGCCTCAAAAAGTCCACTTATCTACAAGTCCTGCCACAAGCAGCTGTGGGCTTTGCAAAGGTTAAGAATCGCCAAGATTGGTGTTACTGTTAAACGCAACTTCTTGATAATCACATAACAGTAATAGAAAATACACTTTGAAACCTCATGGCTGGCTAGTTTGGCTTAAGCCCTACCCCTTCTTTCCCTTGGATACACAGAGCATCTCATGACCTCTTAGAGCTCAATCTTCTAATAAATGGCAATATTTGCTCCTCACCCATACCTGGGCTTAGCCTGCATCTCCTTGCTTCTACTCATTTACTTCTGGAGATTCATGGGGGTTGGTGGTTAACACTGCATCCTCCTGCCCTTCAGTGGGGTATCCTCAACACTTCTCAGCACTTCTAGTGTGAGTAAGAAAAGGCACCAAGTCTATGTTGCAATAATAAAAAAAAAAAGCACAATTTAAACCTGTTAGCCTGAACCAAAGATAACCAGAGATAAAAGAATATCAGTCCTACCTTTGCCTTCTCAGCGGGCTGCTCTAGTGTGACCCTGTGGGCCCCAATCCGTGGGTGCTGCCAGCGGGTCCCCACCCCTCTCGACGTGAAAAGCAAAAGTGCAACTGCCGGGAGCAGCAGCCTGCGCAGGCGGGGAGCAGGGCCCTCCCCAGCCGGCAGCGCTTTCTGTGCTGCTCCTCCCGCCCGTGGGTCCCAGCTGGACCTGGCCCTTTTTCTTTCTTTTTTTTTGTGTGTGGGTTGTTTTTTTTTTTATATATATATATATATATATATATATATCTATAAGTAAAGGTGCTGTTAGTTTTGGGGTGTGTTGGAAACTGCCGCCGCAGCGTGGCAGTTGCGGTTCGTTGCGAGGCTGCTGTCGCCCCAGCAGCCTCCCCCGCTGCTGGGGATGGGGGGCTCGGGGGCCCGGGGGGGCTGGGGGCCCTGGCAGCACCCAGCTGAAGCAGCGCAGGCTCCCACAGGCAAGTGCCTGCTCACAGAGCCCCTTCCTGCTAAGGCCACAGAACTAACAAGGCTGATGAAGCAAGATGCTTCATCAGTTATTTTCCTCTCCCTTTCCCAGTTTTCTGAGAGAGGTTGCTTTTCTCTCCTCTGGATGTTTTTACCCCCACGCTGCAGGTCCCTGCACCCAGCGCTTTGGTGGGGGCTTCAGAAAGTCGCACTGAAACAGATCACGGTCTGGTTCGGGCTTCCCCAAAAGCAGGACTTTTTCCACGGTCATTATTTTCTTATTTAATGGGTTTCTGCAGCTCATGTGGAGCAGCCCAGGGCCAGAGCTGAGGACTCTTCTCTGCCAAATGGAGGCTTGTGCCATGAAGCGGTGTCACCCACTGCCACATTCCCAAGCCACCGTGGCCCCGGCTCCGCACCCGCGGGGTGCCCGTCGGGCCGTGGCCATCAGCAGAGGGCGGCACTGGCCACCGCCTGGGCTGCTCGCTTGCCTCTGCACGCTCGGTGACTTCGTGGCTGTGAAAAGTAGCACTTCTCCAGTCATCCATCTGGGGTCTCTCGCCCAAGAAGTAATAAAAAAAAAAAAAATAAATAAAATTTTTTAAGATCGAGAGGAATTGACGATTCTTGACTCAATTGTTTATTCTGAAAAAGTGACTTTTCTGTAACAATTCACCCTAAAGTTATTTGCAACTTTTCAATTTGCATTTATTCACTTTTTTTGCATGTCTGCTCAGGAGAACAGGACTTATTTTGCAGCATGGCTTGTGAAGCAGTTTGCAGGTCTGCAGAAGGGTCATACAGGGGGCCAGGCAGTGGGGTCCACTGCGGTGTCCCCACCACATGTGCTCGCAGCAGGCACCAGGGTCTCAGACACCTACTGCTTTAAACCATTATTGATTTACTTGTATAACAACTCCAACTTATAGCAGGGTTTTGTAGCTCTATACACTTCTTTTTATTGTAGTTTAGAGGAAATTAATCTCTTGGGCACATTGTGGGCTTTTATAGTGTAGCAGTGTGCCAGGTTTGTCATCCCTGCAGTGGCACAGCTCCTTGCTGGGGCTTTGGAGCTTGCACCTCCCAAAACACACAGGCTCTTGCCTGTTTCAGCAGCTAACACTCCTACTAGTTAAAGCTTCTAGCCTTTTTTTCTGAAGCCTGCTGATTACTTAATGTGCCTTAATTAATCTTGCGTGGGAGCTAGAGCTTTCAGCACTGTGGAATCTTTGCTGCACAGTTGTCCCCTTGGGTGCAGGGATGGATTAATCTGCTTATGCTTTTGGACTAGAAGCAGCGGAGGTTTGGGGTTTATTACTTAAATGGGGCTTGTCACTGTTGCAGAGTCTCCTGGGAGATGTGCTGAGCCCTCAGTGGAGGATGCCGACTCAGTTCACATTAGTCCTGGAGCATTTCCATAACTGCAGTGGGGTCTAGGATGCAAAACTTTCCCCATGCTTGCCAACAGCTGCCTGTGCCACGTGCTCACGCTTTGTAAAGTGTTTTCACTGTAGTGATTTAAATAAAAACCTTTTATTTCCTCTTCCCAAAACCCAAAATCATGTGATGTGAAACCTGGTTGTCTCCAGGCTTCGCTCCTGCCCTGTGTCCAGTCCTGACACTAGTAACCCACAGGGACCTTGGGGGTGAGGGGGATGGTTTGGACAGCACTTTAATAGACAATAAAATTGAGGCCAGTCCCAAGAATAACAGCAGTACCAAGCCCCCGTGACTGAACACCACCTGGGCTCTGAAGAGGATGTCTTTCTCTTTTCCTAATCAAACATGTGATGGATGCTCAATTTTGCACTTTCATTTCCACAGAAGCTAGCCTACTTATAAGAAAGCATAGCCTGCGCTTGGGGCAGCGAGTGCATTTACCGCACAGATAGACTTTGTTTCAAAAACACCCTTTTAGAGCATAACCATATCCTGTTTTGCTGGCGCCGTGCTCTGCGCACAGCTGATGTGCATCGCCACCAGCATCCATCCCATTTCCCGTCACTCCAGGAGCTGCTGCGTGCGCCGGCACCCGCTCAGCCCCTCCTCGGGGTGCGTGGGTGGGAACCCAGGGGCTCCTTCCCCAGCTCACCTTTACCAGCAGCCGAATGTCAGTCTCCGGGTCGTGCTGTCCCCTGGCACAGGGTGCACAGTGACAGCACTGGCTGGACCCTCCCCAAACCTGCTGTAGTTGAGGCCACCAAAAATCAGGAGAACTTGGAGCTAGGCACCAATTCACAAGGCGATTATTTTACAGTATAAGATAAAATTTTATCTAATATTTTTCTCTTATATTACTTAGCTTTTATACTTACTTTTTTATCTTGTAAAAATTAGAAATTTTCAGTTCATCTAAGCTTGTGCTTCATGACCTTGTAGGAGATCCTCAGACAAAAACAGCGAAGGTCCTTCTGGTCTGCACTGACAGTCTTTAATAGAAATAATTAATGAGAATAGCTCGCATGTCTGTGTTCTCTCCACAAGGCTGGTGATATTTTTCTCAGTGATGACCCAGGAGGAGTGTGGGGAAGAGCACAGACCAGGCAGGAGCATGTTTGCAAAGGGGTAGCAGGCACAGTGCTAAAAAGTTCTGAATTTTCTTCCCTAGCCTTGGTGCCTGCCCTATCCGCCTACATCAGGGAAATTTTCTTTAAAAACAAAAAAATCCCCTGTTAAGAGAAGCAAGACTCAGCGATCAGCATGTCAATTCCTGCTAGAAAGGACTTGCTGACTGCAGCAAGGTTGAGGCTTTGACTGTTTCTCAGAGGAGAGCTAACTCTTACAGTGCTGAATGTGGCCATGGCATCGACTCACAGTTCCCAAAAATCTTTTCCCTTGTGCTGTGAACAGGACCCTACAATGCAGGAGGGACTGATGGACAGCCCTGGGTCTCTAAAATGGTGCTGTCCTGTTGAACACCACTGACTTGGGCTTTGCAGGGTGTTGCTGGCTGAGCCTGTGAATCAAAAAAATTGGACTCGGGTCTGATGAAATCACGACTGTCTGGAAAACCGCTTCCTGGCTTGGCTTAAAGCAGCAAAATTTGCTTTCTGTGCGTTTAGGTTGCACTCAGAGTTGAAGTTGTGTTTGTTTCTTTGCCAGGCACAGCACTTTCCCCTCTTTGGTGTGAGGTGGGTGGATGGAGAAGCAGCTTGGTGCCAGCAGTGCTGGCTATTAGCACTGTGCTAAAAATCATCAGTCTGAGTCTCACTACTGGGTAGGTGGTATGAGCTCTGATGAGGCTGAGTGGTTTTCCAGAGGCAAAGTCACTTTACTGGGGCTGCACTGGGAGGCATGTGATCATGGAGGGAGGAAAAAGGTATTTTTAGCAAACAGAAAAGCAACCTTCCCTCCTTCCTTGCGACGCCCTAGAAAGCATTGTGCACAAGAGATGGCTTCTTGGATATTACTAAGTACTGCATGATTTTAGGTATATGTAAGTGTAGTATGTGTGCAGGAGTGTATGTGTACAGGGATGGACACATATAAAAACAGCTAAACAGTTCTAGTCATAGCCACCAGTAAAGGAGTAAACCCTATAGAATAATGACTATGCGGATGTTGGTGCTGGCGGAGGTTGGGCTGAGCTGCCCGCTTTGCTGCTCTCCCTGCCGCTGCAGCCACTCGCCCTTTCTGCGAGGGCATTTCGGGAGCCCTCCTGCAGCACGCCTTGCTGGGGAGGGCAATATCACAGCCAAAATTGTCACCAGTGGCTTATCAGTCTGAGCGCTCGGGCTGGCTGAGGCTGCCTGGCTCACTGATCCCAGAGCATTTGCCATGGGCTCTCCGGTCGGAAGAGCAGAGGGTGGTATGTGGGGCTGAGAGTGCCCTGGGTCAGGGATGTGCTCCTGCGGGCCGGGCTGGTGGCAACAGCACTGAGAGCACGGCCAGGGTCTGTAATTGCCTGGAAATTCCCCTTATCTGAAAATGAATGAGGCTAAAGCACAGCACTGGGATTATTACTGGCTGATTTTTGCCATGTGAATAAAAGGTTTAATGCCCATAGGTAACGGCTTAGAGAGAGAAATCCTGAAAAGCCCTTAATTCACCCTGCCTTCTCTTCCCCTCTACATCATCTCCCAGTCCCTTCTTCTCCCTTTTCTTCAACCTTGAGCTTTTCCATTGTAAGAAGTTAGCTCATGCCTTGACAAAGCAAATCTTCAACACAGCAGCTTTTTGCCTAAATCTTCTTAGGGACACTGTAGAGCCAGACATCCCCCAGCCTGCTCTGTCCTGCTGCCCCCCGACAACCCCTCCCAGCTCTCACATCTCTAGATTGGGGACCAGCAGCATCCCTGTCCATCTGTTCCCCTCTCCATGTGCCATCTAGGTGGCAGAGCTCCCCAAATCCCCACAGTTTGGGTCCTGGCATCCAGACAGGATGTTTGTGGTAGTGGAGCTTGGTGGACTGTGATAAAACGGGAGGGCTGGCAGGCACCTTGTGGCTTCTGAAGGCTAGAAAGCACCAATCTTTGGTGGAAAAGGATATTTCCTCAGGGTTTGGTTTCTGTAAAACCCAGCAAAATCCTTGCTATCCAGTGCGTTTAACCCAGAAAGTGAATCTTCTACTGTATTTTCAATGTAACCTGTAGTGCAGGCAAGCCAGAGGGGCAGCCCAAGTAAGGGTTGCTGTTGTGTTTCAGTGTTACAGATTAGTGACAGGGTGGTTTTTTTTTTTTTCTTGCTTTCTTTTCCCTGTTTTCTTTTTGGAAGGGGGAAGCTGCATTGCAGAAATTTCAGAAAAGTTGTGCCATCTGAAAACAAACTGGAAAAGTCCCAGTGGTAACTGGAGCTATTGGGAAACCTGGAGCTGGTGCTGCCGGTAAGGCTGGAGCCGCAATACAGGCTTTGTGGTCAGTCAGCAGGACTTATAAATATCTAGACTTATAAATATCTAGCTGTGGTTATTGAGGGCTACCTAGATGTCCACCTCGGCTACGCAGGGTTGAACCGTTCCCAAAAGATGCTCACAGGATAAGACCACAGTCCTGGTTAAGGTGCTGGTGGTGTGACTTGTCGTCTCTATGGTGGCTGCCCGGAGCCGGGTCTTGCAGCCACGGCATCGGCGAGGTTTTGCTTGGGTGTCCTGTTTTACCTGCACATGCTTCTGGGTTTGTGCCATCTGAAGCAGCTTTTTTTCAGCCCTCAAAACTCTCCCTTACCCCCCCAAGCAAACAAGGAAAATGTGTCCTTTTGCAGTTTGTTTCCTTTTGTGAGAGGAGGAGGAGGAGATTTGGGACAGAACAGGCTGCAGGACAGCATGTTTTCTGACTGTCTCTGGCACATTGTAAGTACTAAAGCAAATTTCTCTGGGTTGTCTGGATCTCCACTCATCTTTCTAAGACCAGCCTTGGCAATGTGACAGTAAACCACCGCCTGCACTACATTTCCCAGAAACGCTGCATGAGTTGGAAATGTGCATCCAATCATCAGCAAAGCTGTTTCCTATCAAACCCCCTCTGCCTACGTTTACTTATATAATTCCCCGAGGGCTTTTTGGCACTGCAGTCTTCCATGCTTTAGCCTACAAGGAGGAAACCTCACAGCCCCCATGCTGGCCGCTGTGTGAGGGGCCACAGCGGCAACTGGGCCTCTCTGAGCCCCAAGCTGGGGCTCCCCGCCTCTGCAGATTGTACTGTTGCTCTGAGTGCAGACGTGGTGCATAATGAGACTATTTACAAGCACTTAAAATAATACCCATGATGCTAAAATACGTGTTGAGATCTTTTTATTTCTTCCCAAGTTTGAAGCTTTAAAGATGCACTTGGGTCAGTTTTGTAAACTTTACTCAGTACCCAGCAAGGGTTGGGACCTTTTCTGGTTTTTAAAGCAAAACTGAGATGCCTGGATGACATCTTAATCTGCAACCACAGGCTTTAGCAAAATGCCAAATAACACAAGACTCCTAATAACCCAAGAAACGGCAATGCCAACTACTAGTCCACCATTATGCAGCTCACACCAAGTCTCTGTGAGTAAATGTGTCCTGGGAGATGTCCTTCATCCTCTTTGCTCATGGCATATCCAATAACTGTCTTCCAAGTATTCATTTCCCCAAAATCAGCTGAGCATCCTGTAGCTCCCAGGAGCCAGGCGTGAGCTGAGCCCAGTTTGTTTGAAAACTCCCTTTAACACTGATATGGATATAGGTTAATACTCTTTGCTTGATACATGTTGGTAAAGTTATAGTCTTGCAGCCCAAATTGGGCTAGATTAGATCCAGATGATTGATTTTAAGCAATGGGAAGAGGTTCAGTTTATGTGGAGATAATTAGCTGTCCTGATCTAGACCCTCACGTTAGCGTGGTGGATGCTGTAAGTCACCATGGGCTGCAGGTAGCTGCGGTCAGGGCTGAAACTCCCCTGGTGCTACCGCCCCAAGCTGCGCTGGGTCTGAGCTACCCACTTACAACACAGGATCCAGAAGGATTTTCAGAAATTAAAAATATGTAGAAATGATGAAAAAAACAGAAATGAGAGGGACCTGAACCCAGCTGCAGTTCAGCACAGGAGAGGCACTGGATTAGCAACAGCTGTTTTGGGTATTTAACAACATTATGACAGAGAATACTGTAAGGCAAACAGTCCTCAGCAGCAACAATGCAACCAGCAAGTCTTTTTGCATCAAAATGTCCTTCTGGGTCAGATCTTAGCATCTGTGGCACACAAGGGGTAATTCAAGATGTATTTGGAGGCTGAACGCAATCCTCACTCAAGCTATGAGAAGCGCCTACATGGACAGAAATATCTTAAGTTTCAAGAGATGGACTCCAGCAGAAGCTCGTCAGGTGGCATGGGGGGGATTTCCATGCTGTTTATTCGGCCAAAGAACTTGGGAAGAGACCAAAACTTAAAGCGTGGAAGATTTCTCTTCTTCACACGAATGTCGTGTCCGGTTTCTGTGATAGAGAGACGGCTCCCGTGGCGTGTGAACCGAGCACGCAGGGCAGCACAGCTGTGGCGCAGAAGCTGGTCCTGGAACTCAGAGGTCATGAAGTAGTAGAGGACCGGATCCAGGCAGCAGTTGAGGCTTGCCAGGCAGAGGGAGATGGGGTGGAAGCGGAGTGTGCTCCTGTGAACAGCACAGTCCTGGATGATGTTCTCTATCACCATCATGAAGAAAGGGAAGTTGATGTGGTAGGGGGTGAAGCAGATGAAGAAGACTGCTGCACACATCAAAACCATGCGCAAAGCCTTCTGCTTCTCACTGGTGTTTTGCAGCTGCGTTGGACACTCCCGCAGGGACTGCCACATCTTCCAAGTGCAGCAGGCAATGATACTAAAAGGGATGACAAACCCAAACAGCTCCGCCACAGTTACCAGTGCGATGGAGGCTCCCGGGCTCAGCTGCTTCACCCCCAGGTCTGAGAAGCAGGTATCTGTGCTGTTGGACAAGGCTGGGCTCCTCACTACAAGCAGGGGTAAGCACGCTGCCCCAACAAAGAGCCAGACAGCAGCACTGATGGCTGCGTCGTACCGCCGCTTCCAGTCCTTGGCTTTGAAGGGATGGAGAAGGAAGAGGTACCGCTGGATGCTGATGCAGGTGAGGAAGCAAATGCTGGCATACATGTTGAGATACTTCAGGTAGAAGCACACCTGGCAAAGAAAACTTCCAAATGGCCAAGTGTGGTTTATGTAATAATACATACGTAAGGGCAGCGAGAGGACATGAGCCAGGTCGGCCACAGCCAGGTTGATCATGAAGATGACAGCTTTGCTCTTCTTGTTGATGAAGCGGCACAAGACCCACAGGGCAGCACTGTTTGCCAGGAGGCCAGGGATGAATATGATGGTGTAAGTGGTTGCGTACAGGGTGGACTGGAAGGACATTTGGGGATCAGTACAGTTCCCGGAGGACATGTTGCTCTCCATCGCGACCAAAGCTCTACGCTCATGGGGTGATTAAGGCGGGTGGAGAGTTTCTGTAGGGAATAAAAACAGATACTGCAAAGCCAAAAGCTCACCAGTATTTCCCCACGTGGAGTAAATGCACTTCAGTACAGCAGAGTAAATTGTGTGTAGGTGTGTACAGCGCGTATGTGCAAGACAGAGTGTGTGTGTGTTGTGAAGGGTGTGGAGCCAGACCCCACTTACAGGCAGCGATCCTGGGCATCTTCCGTGCAGCTTCTTTCAGATGTGCTCTGCAGGATCTCGTACCCTGCCACCTCCTGAGGCAATGCCACAATTACAGTGACATTGCAACTGAGCTGCGTAGCATTTACCTCTTTATCACTAATGCCAAAGAGCTGCTTCAGCTCCCTGGGGGTTTTCAGGACCACTTCTACTGCATATAGTTTTCTGTCAAATTCCCATCAATTTAGTGCTCTGGTATGTCTACAAGCAATTTAGTGGGGCTGTAAATAAATAGGAACTTTAAATGGAACTAGACACTGTCTTTTCAGATCCAGGCAGAGATCTGAAACAAATCAGCAGTGAGGGCAATAATTAGCATCAGCAAATGATGGTGCTGGCAGGCAGCTGACTAGAACAGAGGCCAGTGGGAGAGGTGCAGACAGATCTATCAGAGCTCTGGCTCCAGTTTTTAAGGCTGGATTTATAAACTAATAGCTGGCCGAGCACACGCTGGTTGCTCTGCCGGTCCTGCTAACTCAATTCCGGCACTCATGGCACATTGTGCAGGCATCGTGTTGTAGCAACAGAAATTATCCTCCAGAAACAGTTCAGGACATGAAGATAAATACATCTGACTCTTCGAGTAGAAATCCTTTTCATCCATTTACCCAATCCACCTCACCCAGCCAGTGCTGAGGGTATTATTGGGTCATGGTGAGTTCACAGGTACTTGTGCAGCCCTCCAGAGAGGTGATAAATTTTGCCATTTATGAGCAGATCCCCCAGGGAAAGGATCTGCATCTTCAGGAAGGGGTGATTTAGCAGCAACAGGTTACAAACCAAGGGCCTGTAGCATCATCTGCAACAAAATGGTGCAATTTTCCCCGTGGAAAAGGAGCCTATAGCTGCCTCCATGGTGTCAGGCAGCCTGCGCTTCCCTTCCAGAAGACAAAAGCCTGACCTGGCAGAGCCCTGAGCACCTCTTGCCATTGCCACCAAGCCCCTCAACAGCCTTGTGTTTGCCACGGGGGTGGATTTCTAAAAGCTAATCTCTCTCAGCAGGGACCAGGCTTCTGCTCAGAGCCTGGCACCGCTTCGAGGTGCAGGGTGAAGGCTCCTCTACCTAGGCAGCTCTTCAGAGGAATCTGCCATGTTTTCAGTTTCAGGAGGAATGATACATATTTATATACATATATATCTACAGCTATATATATATATAAAATATAGCCAGTAGCCTCTTGGCTGGCTGCTCACCACTTGCACCTCTGATGTGAGAAGGGTCAGTGCATTTATCCCCATTTCTGTGCATGTGCAGTGCTTATACCCTGCTTTCTGATCTAAGCCCTTACCAAACTGCATTCTCCCATTTGCTTATCTCTCCAGGGTTTGGCTGCAAAAAAAAAGCAAGGCTGAAGTGAAACCCTGGCTGTAGGCAGGCTGCTGGGCTAGTGCACCTTTTGGCTGCTTACTGGGCTTTAGCAGTCAGCACCGGGTCAGAGATTTCTGATTTATCCACTGAGCCAGGGACAAGGCAGGGTAGCAGGGCATCTGTCTTGAGGGGACAGTAGGAAACAAAACCCTTTGGTCCCTGCAGCATCCCCATGTGCTCCTCACTTGCTTGAAAACCCATGATGGGCTCATGCTCAGCACTGGCCCCACTCTTGGCCAGAGCCCTTTGCACTGAGTCTGTTTAACCCTGGAAAAGTGGTGGCAGGACACCTTGTCTTTGCATCCCTGCAGAAAATAGAGAGGGAAAAACTGCAGGGGAGCATGGGGGATGCAGCTGTGCCCAGCTCTTGTCATGGCCTTCCAGTGACAGAGGTGGCACTTGCTAGTCTGGGCTTGTGAAAATGATAATAGAGTGCTTGGCATCCCTGTCCCACCGTATCCTCCCTGTCGCACATCTCAGCCCAAATCCTAAACCTTGTCCCTGCAGGGGTGACTGTGAGGAGCCTCCTTGTCGTTTTTCTCCATTTTTTGGCTTTCCCTGGGAGCGTAGGAGTGCCTGTTTCTCCATGGGAGGGCCGGGTATCACTCCTGGTACCTGACACTTTTAGTTTTTAGGTGAGACCGCTTGTTGGGGCACCTGGCAAGAAAGCACCAGGGAGCTCCCAGCCGAGCCACTGCTGGGCTGAGTTCAGGCCAGTGCTTGTTCAGTACAATGCTTCCTGAAAGGGTGGATTTCTTCCTTTATTATTACTTTTCAGTTTTTGCCTTGCCCCAACCCCATCCAGCTTCCCTCACGTTGTGATGCTGGTGTTGGGGCAGAGATGCTCCCGTGGCCTTTGGCAGGGGTTTTGTTCAGCATCTTTATAAAGCTTGTATTAAATACTCCCTGTCACTGCTTGATTGTTTTCCTATTTCATCCACACATAGATTTACACACGGGCAGGAGCAGGAGGTGGATTTTTAACTAGCGAAGCTGAATTTTATCCAGCTGCATGCTGAAACAGAGGAGTAAGACCATTGGCTGTGGATGTAGCACTGCAATTCATTAAATATCAAGTAACTCTGCAATTAATTAGGAGGTTAAGGCAGCTATTAAAACACCCATGTTTCTTTTTCTGAGTATGTTAGCAGTATCTGTTCCTGGAGGCGTATGTGGCTGTCACTATTGAAAATCGCTTGGCTACTCTGAATCACTCTGCGCCCCACCCAGCCCTACATTACTGCGGTCTTGCATTTACTACTCCCAGATTCACTGGCAAACTTGCCCTCATCTTTTCCATGGATTGTTGGACAAACCAGGGTAAAGCTGTGTTCCTGGTATGGCTGGGGAGAGCCCCCGGCTTCGGGACCCCCCAGAGGCAGAGCTGCCTCCCTTCAGCCCTGCTCAAGCCTGGAATACTGGAGGAAAAGCAGTCTAGAGGGGGGGGAAAAATAATAATAAAAAGTCCACTTTTGCTTGAAATAAGATCCTGATTTGAAGCAGTGGAGGCTTTCTGGCACTTGTGTTTTAAGCAATAATTTTGTTTGTTTAATCCAGGCACTAATAGGAAGTGCATAAACAGAGCTGGTTGGTTATGGCAGCTTCTGTCAGTAACGACAAAATTGAAGTATTTTGGGTAAAACAGGCTTTCCCCATGTACTGCCACACACAGCAGCCTGCTCAGACACACTGAGCTCCACTCACCCACCCCTCCGAGCTGGGTGAGACAGAAATAAATACATGGGCACAGTCAGAAACTGCTGGGGATGTTGTAGCAGCTTCTGCCTGATAAGATCTCTCGAAGAACTAAAAAAAAAAAAAGGTGATAACATTGCTCAAAACTACGATTGCTTCAATCTACAAAAGAAAACACGCAGCAGAAAACAATCTTACCTTCCTGTGACTCCCATCCTTCTTGGGGGCTGACATCCATGTTAGAGAGCAGGAGAAGCGATCTTTCTGCTTTTATTTTCTACTGATTTTCGCAGCGATCCCAGCCCCACCGACTCGTTAAACTTCCACATGTTTCGGAGCACTGGAATCCTGCCGGCATCTGCAGCCCAGTACAGTGGCTGCAGAACAGGAAATCCTGTATTTTGTTTCTCTTCACCACACAAAATGTGTACGGCTAATGACGTTAAAACAACTGGGAAGGCGATGACGTCATTTGATTCAACTGCCATGCGATAGAGACTTCGGATACAGATTTCTTCCCTCTTTCTTGCACAGAAGTTGTGTTAGGTGTCAGTGTACTTCAGTTGAGCTGCTTCTGCTTTTATCCACGGTCACTTGCCATTTGTTTGCTAAAAACTATAAAATACAGAAGGAAAAATCTTCCAGTAAGCGCTTGCTAAAGGAAAACTGAAAACTGTGCCAGTGTAAGTTACTGGAAGGTAGTCATTTCCCTTCATTTTCTTGGCAGTTTGGTTAGCCTCAGACTATCAAGGCTATAGGCTCAAGCTAAAGGTTTGGACTTTATTTTGGAAATAATATGATGGTTTACGGTGGAGATTTTCCCAAAATACTATTGCTTAAAAAAAAAAAAACAAAAACATAATGTGCATCTTTCCCAATTTATTTTTTCTTTTTGCCTCCTTTAATTCCTGTCCCATATATATATATAAATAAGTTCTTTTACTGCCTTCTAAGCATGACCTCCTTCTTTCTGAATTGCTGAAAACTGCCAGGCATATATTGTAGTGTAACTTATTATGAGATGCCTCATTTCCAGCTGAATGGTTTTACTTGATATATAGTGTCACATACTATGGCCCAGGGCTTTCAAAGATAATATGGCTGTTGGCATCTTTCCCTTTCTTACTGTAGGTAGTGTATAAATAGATCTATTTGTTTTGCTCCATTCAGCTATTTTCTGTAATTTGTCCTATGACCCTGCAGAATTATCAGAAACATAACTGTGGAAGAGAAATGAAAGAAGGAAGTTACTATAACCTTTAACTGTAGAGTAAATGGCCAGCTCAGGGTCTGGGATCAGGCGTGCATCTTTGCCCACAGCACATAAGCCCACCGGCTCTGCCGGCGGCGCAGTTGCCAGGGTTTCTCTGTGCTGGCAGTGATGCTGACCACGGGGACACACGTGTGCTCCCGTGCCTTGAAGTGGTGCTTCATGAAGGTAGCATAGAGAACGGAGAAGAGGATCCTTGACCTGAAGTATCCTGTGATCAGTGGAGATGCAGTTAATTAAATCCATTGGTTAACATCCTCATGAAAGCAAGACCAGGTTATATACAGTTTATATACCAGCCTTTATAGACTTATCTATAGGCTTCTTCATTACCACTTGCTTATCCATCAGGTAAATGTAGCCTGCTAGCAAATAAGTAGCTGCAAAGCCCCATGCTTATCTCAGCTGAGAGCAAAGTGATCTGGAAGATGCAAGAGCTGCTTATCATTCCAAGTTTTTTCTTGCACATGTTTTTCAGCAGCTGATATTGATACTTGGAAGAAAGAGCAATGCTTGTGTATTTGCAAAACATTCACAGATTTGCAGAAGGGAGGTCGGCACTGCACCCCATCCCTCTCCAGAGGTTAAAGGTTTATCCCAAAGTGAAATGGCTGTTTTATCAGGATATCCTGCCTAGGACATCCTACTTCTGTGTCCACAGCACACATCCAGCACTTTATCCAGCCATCTCTGAGCCCTATTTTTAGGTACATGTTTACAGCAGAACTGCTGGGGAAGAAGGGGTCAGTGGATGTCAGACTTGCACCTCAGGGTCATAACCACGTCAAGTCTTTCCTCTGCTCATAGTTTTTTGGAAGTACTTTTGCAGAAGATTGCAACCTTCCTGAGCATGAAAGGCTGATGGATTGACAAGCCTCAAACCTCTTCCTTCAAAATATACCGATCAACCTCTTCTTTCAACTGCATGCATATGTTTGTTTAGCATTTCTGTTTGTCTGGCTCGTTACCAATACTAAACATGCATTTTATGCTATGCAATGTTACACTTTCAAAGGCAGAAGACACAAAGGAATTTTTAAATAACTGTGAGACTTTATCTAAGGCTTCCAGAAAAAAAGGTCGTCTTAGTCTTTAGCCTGGTATCCTGTGGGCAGAAGGCCAAATGCATATGATCAGCATCTCTTTAAGCACTCAGCATTTAGCAATATCTGACAGGATGCACCTGAAGGATGTATGTAAAACAGTGGGCCATTCAAGAGGAGGAGGTCTTGTTCACAGAGAGCAACTCACCCTTGTGCAGAGACTTGCTATGCCTTGACCAGAGCTGTGGGCACATTGTCCGGGGGGCTGGATGAGTCCCTGGTGCCCTGCAGCACACAGTCCCTCTCACCACTGCACAGTGGTCTCTACAGGGGCAGCAGTTTTAGGAAGCTTGGATTTATTTTACAGCAAATAATTGTTGGTCACTCCCTAACTTTTTGGGCTAAGCCCTTGTGTAATCCAGCGACCCAGCAATTTTGTCAAAATGTACCAGTCATAGCCCTGAAATCTGTTAAATGCAATGAAGCGTTTTCATATTTTTGAGCTGGCTCCTAGTTCTTGAGCTGTTATCCTGCATTTACAGCATTTTTTTTTTTTTTTTTTTCTGCATGGAGAGATAGTAATTTAATTTAAGGAAAGGAAATGAAACTGAGATACTCGCGAGATCCTGCAGCTCAGAACCTGAGGCATTAAATCCCACGGGGTTTCTTTCCAAATACATTTGCCATTAAGCATGGGAGGGCCCTTTCTCAACCAGGAAAGGAATTACTAGGCCTCTGATACCAATTAAGACAGGGCGGCCATTTGCTGGCACTGCAAAGAAACACATTTTCTTTTGCTAACATGTCTCGTGCTAGAGGAGAATATGTTATGCCACAGTTTTGCTCAGGGCTGTGCCATCAGGGGACGTGCACTACCATTGGTGTAAGTGGCTTGGACACCTCACCATGTTTTCACCCTGAGCAGTTCCCTTTGGGGTGAGGCTTGATGCAGGGTTGCTCCAGCAGCAGGTGCCAGTGGAGCCCTTCAGATCCATCCTCCACAAACCTGCATAGCTGTTGTATCCAGCCTCTTGATTCGGTTAACTTCTGCCTTTCTGTGGCATCTCTGTTGAAAGACTGTTTATTTATGTCTGCCCAAGAAGGATGAAGATGTCTTTTTATAGCTGATGAGTCTGGGCAATGGGACCAGGACAAGAGATAATCCAGGAGCAACATCATGAAATTATATTTCCTCTTGTCAAAATAATAAACACGTTTTATGCTCACTGGAAATGGGGTGAATTACAGGAACTGGAACTGGGCACACTGTGCCTTTGAAAACGTGAGAGCTGGCAGGCAAAGCCAGCACCTGCACCCCCAGGTCTTGTGTTGGATCCAGCACCTCCCAGACATGAAAGCAGTTGAAATACCATCCTCCTCCTCCTCAGCAGTAATGCTGGAGTCATCTGTTGTTCTCCTGAGACACACTGCTGAGGTCTTGGAGGACTTGAACTAAAGGCTTTGAGTTTCAGATAGGGATTTGTGGAGGCTAAACTGACGGTCTTTGACTTTCTATGCGCTTTCAGAAAATTACAAGTTTTTCTTGACCTCTTTTTACTTTGAATTGTTGCTCTCAGCTAGCTCACTGTCATGACATCTTGGCTAACTTTCTGTTGTGGTTTAATCCCATGTGGCAACTAAGCACCGCACAGCCAATTTAACGCTATCCCAGCCAAAACCAGTATGCTTTCACACACACCAGAAGAGACCATTAGACCAAGTTGTCTAACCTCATGTGCATCAAAGTGATGGGACTTGAAAAGCTGAAAATGTTGAACGTGGCTTTTCCTCACAGGCTGGGGCTGCAGTACGTAAAAAGGACAGCCTTGGGGGGTCTAAGGGTGTTCAGAGGGTGAACAAGGCAGGAAGACGGGGGGAGAGCATGAGCAGCTGAGGTGCTTGGGGATGCCATCATGGTGTTGAGGAACATTATCCCTCATGGAGCCACCAAATTCATTGTTAATGTTAAGGGTGGGAGACCCACTGTCACTCTTCAGACGTTCATACGCTGGAGCAGGTATTCCCCTGCCAGGTCCATGTTACAGCTTTCAGTACGTGGGGGACTACAGTGACCAATTTCTGCTTTACCAATCTTGTTGTAAATGGTGTAAGAGTTTTTTTTTAAGCTGTATAGATTTGGATCTGTGAAATGATTGTTGGATGAGATATAGAGATGGTTTCTGTGGTCCTGCCTGCATGTAAGGACAATAGCAGTCACTGTTCACCCAGTTACACACCACCTGCAGCACAGCTATTCCCATGGAGGACCTTTCTCTCTCCGAAATACCTCTAAATCCAAAGTAACTTTTGTAGTTTTTAAATAAACACCAGCCGTGTTAGAGTGGGGTGAAAACCTTTCTGTAGACAAACAAGCAACCTGCTTAAGAATAATAAAAGTTGATACACTCCATCACTTGATTCAAGGAGGAGCTGATCCCATTCAGTTTTCTAGGTATAACTGATAACTATAAAACTCAGTTTATGTTTGCAAAAATGCGTTTATTTTTTAAGCATCAGTTTTTGGAAAGAAAAATGTAGGACAAGCTACATAGTTACCATAACAGTGCCTTCAGCTTGTTTTCATCTGATAAATGGTGAATTGCATGAGAAAAAAAAAATCACAGTAAACAGCTCCCAGTCACATGCTACCTGATTGAGGTCCATAAAAATCCTCAAAACAAACATTGAAACTAAAGTCTCCTTCTCCAATGTTACACAGCATCTAGCTTATGAGAAAACTGCTAAATTGACAAAAATTTCATTACACATGCTTAACTGTGTACCTGAGCATCAACTTCTGCTCGCATTTTTAAAGGGACTACTTGCAGTTTGTAAACATGTACATATATCATTGTCATAATGAACTGCCAGTTAAATTGGAGAAAACATTTCCATTGACCAGCGAGAGATGGACTGTTTGCCTTCTCTGCAGCTTTCTCACCAGAAGCCTGCAATAATTCGCTGTGACAGTTACTTCCTTCAGATAGGCATATTTTGGTATTGTCACTTATCTCATGTAAGATTAAGTTCATCATACTGTAGCCCGTAATCATCTTCTCACAAATGAGAGGAGAACTGCAAGACCTTTTTGTATATAATCAGTATGTCTTCACTGTCTTTTAGAGGAACTGAAGTGTAATGTTTTTTTAAACCTGGCTATTTGCTTTTTCCCATTTTATTGTAAAACAGCCAAGCGGGAAAACATAATATGCAGAAAATTTTTGGCTGAGTTAAAATATAATTAAGTGGAATTTAGTAGTTAGATTTAAAATGTACTTAGCAAGTGTTTTTGGTATTTCTTCTATTTTTGTAACAACATATAAGATGTTGGCACTGGCGCTTACTGAGTACTGTACTCTTTGAAAAAACACATGTTTTTCAAAGGCAGTAAGTCAGTGCCTGCGTTCAGCCAAAACAATCCCCATGTATCGTGAGGATACCTTTGAAGTTACACAAAGTGGGTGAACTTGGCCAAAGAGCTGTCACCAATTTAAAATAAGAGGTAAATCATCACTGCTTTCCATATCTTCATAGCCAATTATAAAAAAAGGACCTGGTGGAAAAAATCGTGGTGAATAATTTATGTCAGAAATTAGCCTATGCTCTATTAGTGAAATCACCTTGGCAAGAACACCCCTCTTTTTTAAAAGATATGTCAATTGAACCCACTGAGTTGAGGTTTCATGGGGCAGATCCATTGCAGGTACATCTGGGCCCAAGAAGCCACATGCAGAAGAGACCAAGGATCTGAACGGTACCACCAGCATCACCAAATCCACCTGCACCAGTGCCGAGTCCAGCTGCACCCAGCCAGCAGCACACTCCCAGTGGTCCTGCCCCTCAGGGCCCAAAGGCAAAGGCCACCCCGATACCCCCCCTTGCCAATGGGGGCAGCTCAGAGAGGAAGAAAGTCACTCCGAGCAAGGGGAGGTCCCACTCTGAAGTGTTTGAGGAGCCACCGGGAGAATTTGTCTTGCAGAGGGTCTTGCACCAGCTGTAGGTGCAAGTTACAGGATGCATCGACAATTAGGGACAAACTTAGATCTGGATGAGGAGGAAATAATGAACGAGAGCAAGAGGGGAAGTCTGGGGAAGGTGAAGCAGAAGTAAATGTGGTGATGAGTGGGATGCATTCAAAGCCAGGAGTGGGCAGTGGCAAGCCGGGGCTGCCGTGCTGAAGCAAGCTGCCAACCTTCACACGTGTGCAGCCCTGAGTGTGAAGACTAAAACTGCCATTTATTATTACTGGCCATTTTCAAGTCCTTGTATGTATTGTGTGGTTTTAGCAGAGAAGAAACTTCAGCAGATGTCAATGTATGGATGTGGGATTGTCTTTGGCTTGATCATAGAGCCATGGAGTTGGGAAAATAGAAGAAAATCTCCTGGGACTTTTCCACCATTTCCTAGCAAAAGCTTTGTCACTCCCTCTTGTATATTTTCAAGTCCAGCTAAGCCAGGCATGGGTGGCACAGCAGTAAGTGTAGTCACACCAGTTGGGTCACTCATCAGCTTCCAACACATCGGTCTTAAACAGAGTTCTATCTTCTATATATTGTTAGATGTCCACTGGCACAAAACTCCCCTGTATAGACTTGCAGGATCTTCCACAACAGAGTTGGTAAGTCAAGTATCACAGAACAGTCCCAGATCTCGTATGAAATATCTTCATTCTTTTAAGCTGTCTTCCTTGTCATTCCTTAATTGATGAACCACTCTCTTTGCTCATGAGCCGACTCCTGATGACCATGCTGCTGTGCCTTGATATCTGGTCCTGAAACTCTGAAGTCATAAAGAAATACAGTATCGGATCCAAACAGCAGTCCAGACTTGCAAGACTTAAGCAAAAGGGCTGGACATAGAGTGTGATGGAACTCAGGAAGCAGTCTGTAATTACATTTTCTTTCACCAACATGTAGAAAAAGAAGTTGATGTGGTATGGTGCAAAACACACACAGAACACAATGGCACACATGGAAACCATCCTTAAAGCCTTCCGCCTCTCGCTGCTGTTTTGCAGTGGTATCTGGAAGCCCCGAAGAGAGTCCTTTGTTTTCCAAGTACAGAATAAAATAATGATGAGTGGGCCGATGAACCCGAAGAGCTCTGCTGTGACTGTCATCAGCACAGTGGCCACCTTGCTGTCAATCTGCCGGACTTGAAGGTCTGCAAAGCAGGTATTTGTGTTTTTGGCCAGGCCGTAGCCACGCATGATGGGGAACGGCAAGCATGCCATCCCAACAAAGAGCCACACCACAGCACTGATGGCAACATCGTACCGCCGCTTCCAGTCCTTGGCTTTGAATGGCTGATACAGGAAGAAATACCTTTGAATGCTGATGCAGGTGAGGAAACAAATGCTGGCATACATGTTGAGGTACTTCAGGTAGAAACACAGTAAGCAAAGGAATCTCCCAAAAGGCCACGTGGAATTAATATAATAGTATATTCGCAGTGGCAGTGAAAGGACGTGAGCCAGGTCGGCCACAGCCAGGTTGATCATGAAGATGACGGCTTTGTTCTTCTTGCTGATGAAGCGGCACAAGACCCATAAGGCAGCGCTGTTTGCCAGGAGGCCAGGGATGAATATGATGGTGTAAGTGGTTGCGTACAGGCTGTTTTTGAATGTTATATTGTGACTGGAGCAGGTCTGGTTGCTCTGTGTCATGACTGGGCTGCTAGAAGCATCTGTGGTGGTATAGGGCTGGTGTGTCATTCCTGTAGAAAACAAAAACAGGGACTGTAAAGACAAAGACACTGCAAGAGTTCTCAGTATTCACATTTGCATTTCTGAGTTGCCTATTCAGTACAAACTAGAGGTTTGGAACTGTCTTCTGTATAAATCATCCTGCTATTTTTTTCAAAGCTGCCCTTTCAGAGGTCTCCCACTATTCACACAGAGTTTGGGGACCATTCCCGTTGTGTCAGTCACCTTGGTGGGATGTCTGAGTGCCATAAGCATGGGTGAAGCTGTGCTGTACTGCTAATAGAGAAGCAGGAGAAGCTGCCTATCCTTTTGGCAGCTGAAGGTCATCTGTAGTTTGGTCTCTGGGTAGCAGGTGAGGAATACATGGCAGAAAGGTGTGCCATAGCCCAGCTTCTGTGTGTGAGCAATCACATGGCCTGGCGATCAAAATACGGGCACCAACCACTGAATGGTACCTGCCATTAAGTTGTATGTTAGGCATTGCATGGGTGGCATGTTTCCTGACCCTTTCAGTGGACTGCATGGACCCACCTTCTCTGGAATGATGGGGACGGGGCATGTGGAAAAGGGTAGCAGGGAGCAGCCTTGAAAAGCTTGACTGTTGTAAATGCAGCCAGTGCTCCTGAAATGTGCTGCCATGCATTTAAGCTAATGTAACAAGCAGAGACCTAATCAGATCACCGACTTCCATTTCTCATCACCCCAGCAGCCTCAGTTTAACATTTTTTTTTCCATCAGATAATTTTATTTTTAGATACTTCCAATTTCTGGCTCTTCTTTGATTCATGTGATGATGGAGGATAGAAAATGTCACATATTGAACTGTTGGGCCATCTTTCTTTTCTCAGCTTTTGTAACTGGAACTTGTCTTCACTAAGGCATCACAGGGAGAAAGAGTTTGGTTTTATCGGGTATTTCCCCATAGGATTATAATTCCCATTACATTGATTCCCTCCTGTGTCTAGTATAGTGGTTAAAATTGAATATCAGCTTCCTATTTCATGCGGCACTGCAGACACTGATTCATTCCTTCTGACTCATTTCCTTCACCAGTAGCAAGGGGCATTTGACAGAAAAAATGTCTCTGTAGGTAACTCATACCTCGTCACTAATTTTTTTTTTCCTTCATGTTTCAAAGAAAGAGTAGAGTTTAGAGCTCTCAAGTGTCAAAGAACACCAATACCTGTTTTTTCAGCTTGTTAATTGTTGCAGTACATGGACTTGGCAGCTCATACAGACACTGTTCAAGGCTACTATGCAAGGGTTGTAATTCAGGCCCCAGAAGTGCCCAGACATGGCAAGGTCCCAACATGAGACACAGGCCACCGTTGCCATGAATGCAGTGGTTCTGGCTGACACTGATGGTGAGCAGGGCCACCTAGCCACTGTTTCTGTAGGCTCCCCAAAGAGATGCTGCTGCCAACTTTCTTGCTTTTCTTTTTAAACTTGTCTTTAATTTTCTCACAGTCTTCAAAAAGCAAGGTCTGCATGTTTATTTCTTACAGTACTCTCAGCTTTAGTAGCTGAGCTACATCCTTCAGTTGCACTGAACATCAAAGATGTACTGCAGTCGAGAAACTTGCTATCTAATCCCCTTCCTTTACCACAATGGCACGAGTACATGGAGGCCAGGTGCCCCAAGAGCACATGTCCCAGGCTGGCTTTGTCTCTCCAGTGCAATCCCCCCAGTCTGCAGTTTGCTCGCAGTAACCCTTGCCCCAAGGCAGCTCTGGGACAAGATGCTCTGCTCTGTGGTAGGGTGTCCCCAGCTGCCCCCATCCCCAGGACACCACAGCCTTGTTCCTATCACAAGGCCATGACATGCCCATAAGGAGGTAAGAGGCTCAAAGGGTGCTGGAAACAAGGGGGAAAGATGCATCTAGCCTATGGCCTTATCTCCACCAGTCTGAGAAGCAACGTTGGAGGCCTCCCACTCTCCTTTCTGGTGTTCCTCAGGATGCTGAGACAGGCAGTGGTCAAGGCATGGAGCTGGGCACTGGGGTGTTCACTCAGGGCGTTGCTCCTCAGAGAAGTAAATTGTGGTAACATCCAATTTCTGGTGGTCTGGAGGTTTGTGTTCCTTTGCATCTGGTTTGTCTGCAGCTCTAGATGGACATGCTGTCTGCTGCCCATGCCTCTGGTAGGAGCACTGCTCACTACACCCAATTTTTGTCCCTTCAGGTGGCCTCCCACTTTGCCAAGAAGCCATTAAAGAGCCACTTTCAAAGTTATTAGCTGCCTGCTTTCCCTTGGTTGTCAAGGTTAGGCTGACTGGCCAGTGCTCCTCCAAAACACGAGTGCTAGATGGCCATTGAAACCATGGAGGATTAGGTATGTTTGCAAAATGCTCTATTTTAAGGACACACTTATATTTAAATGCTGCCAGTGGACATGTGTTCTTCAGTTCAAATGAGTCATAACAGTTTTCTTATTGAGGTCCCTAGATACAGTTAGCCCTTATTTACATTTCATGTGACAGCTAAGGAGCCGACCGCCACATCAGCACTCAGAATAATCAAGTTCAGGCTGCTGACTCAAACTGGCCTCTGAATGGAGCCATTTAGGGTAAATTGACGTGCCCAGGATGTGTCTGCTGTAACACGAGGGTGACACTGAGTGCACATGCTTGATACCAGAATTCAGCCTTAACTTTCTGATTGCAGCAAACTGTGCCCAGGCACGCAGACGAGTAAGGGGCTGGGCTGCAAGGGCTGCAGCACGCCTGGGACCATGCTGGAGCCCACAGCACAGAGAGGTTCCCCCTTGGCCTTCATCTTCATCTGCTAATTGTCCACAAGGTGTCAGAGTTAATCAAGATTACATTTCTTTGCCTTCCTCTTTAAGGTGTTTTTTTCTAACCCCCAAGGGACTAGGAGTGGCAGGAGGCAGAGGCGGTGGTGTGACTGTCCTCATGAGTTTGTGTTGCTATCTTCTAGAGTCATCCCAAATTGAAAAGCCCTTGTGTTGCTGAATCATAGATTTACAGAATGGTTTGGGTTGCAAGGGACCTTAAAGATTATCTAGTTTAAACCCCCCCACCATGGGCAGGGACAATTTCCACTAGACCAGGTTGCTCAAAGCCCTGTCCAACCTGGCTTTGAACACTTCCAGGAAAGGGGCATCCACAATTTCTCTAGGCAATCTGTTCCAGTGTCTCACCATTATTTCATAATAACTGATATTAGGCAAAAAAATGCTCCCAGGAGTAGTCCTCATTTCTGGTATTTACAGGTAAAAGAGTTCTGAAGAGCTACACTTTGATGGAGACCAGGGAACTGCTTTGAATCTTAGAGCCAAAAGATTATAAAACCCAACCTGTGGAAATGCAGGTGATCTCCCATCCCTACCACCCTGAGCAAATGTAACACTGTGATTGGCGAATGGAAGACATATGGCCCATAGAGTCAGAGAAAGCCTCTCCTTTGCATTCGGTGAACTCGAGGTCAGGCCATTTATGATTAAGTGGACTGAGCAGGATGACCTGGCTGGGAGTGCAAAAGCTTTAACACAATTAATATATACATGGGTGATGTCTTCTGGCTCATCAGAACAGGGCACTTTCTGAGAATGAATGACTTCATTACAAAGTCATAAAAATATAATGAGATTAAACCATCTCTTTAGGCAGAATGCACCCAGGCATATGCACAGGGGACTACAAAACAATTGTACTTCTGCCCTTCCTCCCACTTCTCTTGTTCAGATTAAAGCTTAATCCCACACTGTACCCTTATCTTCCTTCAGGTGCACAAAATCAGACACTCAGAGATACCATTGAATTTCAGTCTGAAATTAGGTGTCCAAAGCTGTAAAGAAAGCAAAGTTATTTGCTGCATGATGTGTGTACAGGAAAGGTAGAAGGCTGAAAATCTCCATCAGATTTTATCAACGCTTATTTACATATTGCAGGGAGACAGCTCCTACTGCAACATCATTTTAGAACATGAAATTCCAAAAAAATTGGTAGCAAATAAATACACGGTTATCTAACTACTGTTCTTTACATTTTAATTACAGTCTGTATTTCTGAGGCTGTTGCAATAAGGACATAATTAAATGTGCACATTACTACTGGACATTTAGAAATTAAAGATGGCATTTCTAAGAAAAAGATGTTCATCTTTATAGAACTGAGAAGCACAGGAATGTCACTCCAGAGTCCTGGATCTCTCTGGCATGCCCATCAGCAGACAGGTTAATTGATTCGATTAAGACACAAATAACTCTATACCATGCCCTCATTGCGTGGCCATGAATGTCTCATGCTATTGCACTCACACTTCAGTATGAAACCTCTGCAGTCAGAAGTGGAAAGTTCTACAGTTAAGGGTACTTTTTCTGGTTTTCTTCTTCCACAAAAAAAAAAAAAAAAAAAAAAAAAAAAAAGAAGAAGAAAAAAAAAAGCGGATCTATATTGTCTGATCTGTTGTCTTGAGATGTTTTCATTTTGCAACACTAGTCTAATTTTCAATTCTGCAGCTCTGGCAGCTGAAGAAACAGGGCATGCACGGGCAGCAGGACACCGGCAGCCCCGTTGGAGTGCTTGTTTCAGGCTGGGCGCGGGCTGTCCCACACACAGACTTCCATCATGGATACAATTCCCATGGCTGGTGATGTTCTCACTGAAGCCAAGGTCCCAGCACTTTCACTTGACACCAGAAAAGATGCTCTTGAACAAAAATCACACTCTTACTTCACACACCCAACTGCTCCAGCCTCCTGCTGAAGTCCTCTCCTACATAAATCTGCGGCAAGCCAGATTTGACATACTGACTCACCTTTGGTGCAATTGCCTTTTGATTTACTTTAAGAAATTTCAGATTCAGGGGTCACCCGCTAGGAATCCTGTCTATAAGTGCCAGACTGCATATGTGCTATTTTGCTGGGCTCCCATCAGAGCTCAGCTGCTAGTACAAGTGAATGAAAGCCCATCAGTAAACCACCTTTTACAAAACACGGTTTAAAAGCTTCAGTCCATGAAGTAAGTTAAGTTTTAATCCAGATCAATAACTGCAGTCTGAATTATGAATTAAAACTGCCTCAGGATTCTCATTAGCAAAAATAAGTCCAAGCAATCTTGCTATTTTTGTCATATTGTGTGCCCATGGCTAATATTAATTTCCTACTGTTGCAACTCAGAGAGCATTGGATGGCACAAATACAGGCAGCCTGTAGATTTTTTTTATGGTAGTATAAATCACCATTAGAAAAAACAGATTTGCAGGTTTCCCTTACTGTCAAGTATGATTTTAAAATAAAATATATTCCCTGAGAAATCAAGCAAAAGAAGGAAATTGTGCCTAGTAATGACACTGGAGAACAGTTGGAGAACCGTTAATTGCCCACACTGTATCATTTTGCTTTCTCTAGCAACAGCAATTTCACGCAGCCACTGTTTCAACTCCTCCATGTGTTCATACAGCGGATTGGCGCGCAAGCAGGGCTGCTGTTTTCTCAAGACTCAAAGCGCCACAGATCTCCTCCTGGAAAGAGCCAACCCCTAAGAAAAAGCCTGAGGAGCACAATGTTTTCATAGGAAACAGCACAAGCTCACTAACATTGGTTCTAGATCACAAAGAGAGAGCTCAGAAGCAGCCTTACCTTTTCAGGCAGAAACCCAGCTAGGCGCAACTGTGCTGTCAGGAGGAAGTGGAGTGTCCGGGCTGCACCGCTCCAGCCTTGTTTACATGTGCACCGCGACCTGAATGACATCACGGGGTGCTGCAAGGTGCTGCTTTGCCTACGGCTCCGCGCTGGGGCTGCAGCTGGGGCGGGCGCCTGCCTCCCAGCCCTTACCTGCCTCTGCAGGACTCGCTTGCTCAGCTCCCAGCCCCGCTCAGCTGAGTCCCGGCCAAGCGTGCGCACGGTTGCCCCAAAATCGGGTTCGTGTGCCTTTGTCCTTGGTGTTTTCTCTCCTGCTGCTTCATCAGGATGACTTGATACCCCCCTCAGGCTGCTGAGTGGGAGAAGGTCCTGAGTGGAGCTGGGTGCTGCTCTGTGCAGGGCACCCCTTCCTCCCCTGCCATTCTTCCTCCTCTCCAAGCACAGCTCCAAGCTGCCTATGGAAACAGTCCTGAGGTTTCTGCTTGCTCCTCCCTGGGAAGTTCAGCTTTGCTCTTGCCTCCTGGTCGTGGGGCTGGAGATGGTCATTGTTGTGCGTGAGCCTCGGCTGGTGGTTGCTCTGTTTCACCTAGTGCTAAGTCCCCTTGCTGATGAAGTCCAACTTCCCAATGGCTTTTTATAGCACTCGTGTGAGCCTTGCTTGACATTTCTCTTGGACTAAATAAGCAGGCAGATCAGTTTACACTTGATGGAGTTCATAGAATCATAGAATGGTTTGAGTTGGAAGGAACCTTAAAGAAGTTCACTGCCAGCAATCTCAAACAGTGGCACTTAAATAGTTTCAAGCATTGGGGTGAAATCCAGCCTTACTCTTTCCCCAGGGGTTAAATGCATTAGTGAGGCTAGGATTTCACCCACTTAGAGGATCTAATTGTTTGGATTTTCAGAAAGCCACCAGGAATCTGCCCTGTTTTGCCTCTTCAGGGTCAGCCTCTGGCTTGCAGCACACCACTGTCCCTGTAGCTCAGCAGTTAAACTCTCTGCTCTCTTGTGGTTTAAGGAAGATGAAGTAGAACATCACTGTGGCTACTGCCTTACTTGGGGTCAATATAGATGTCGATGTCTGACTGCTCAGAAACCTCAGAAACCCAAACCTAATGGCTCTGATTCAAATAAGAATGCCCCACAATGAACACCCCCTAAAATGCATTGCTGTGCTTTACAGACGGTCCCGTTTCCATGAATTGTCAAAGGAAGTTGGTAGAAGTTGGGAGATTGTCAGATGTTTATTTTAAAATTATTTATGTGGCCTTCATGAAAAGCAATAGTGAGCTTTTGGCCAATGTTTCAGTGTTTATCAGTGCATCCTGTTTAGCTGATTTTTAAAGTTGTTCATTAGCAATGGGAACATATTAGCTGGAATTTATCCAATCACGAAGTTGTCTTTAACATTAAATCACAGCATAATACTTGCAGCCCAGCAAGCAAAGCAGAATCTCATTTGGTGACAGCAATTCAGAAACAGTTCACTGATTGACCCGACTAGCACTTGCGGAAAACAAACATTATCAACTCTTCTGCAGCTGCTCTCTCTTGTCTGCATGAACTTCCATCTATAATTCTTTCATCCCTCATTTAGTTGTCACTAATAGACCTGCCTGATTTGAGAAAAAGCCATGATCTTTGAGGAAAGGAGAGATGAAGTTAATTACATCTGCACCTGTACATGTTGGTACATGAAACATTGCAGTCACAAAAGTAAACTGTAACAACAAAAAAGAGTGTTTGTGAAAACACACTGTATACTTAAGAACAGGTCTACTGAGAAGAGATACAACTACTGTTGCTGCTTTATACTCATGCACATAAATTGTTCTGGCAGCCTGGTTTAGGGGAAATTGTTATATGACAAATGTAGGACCAAGAAAGAGATTTAAAGGCACAAGTCATAGCACCTGCAGAATAGTTCTGCTGATTTTTTTTGTGCTTAAATTTATCCAGTTGCAAAGTGGGGATAACATTTTCCTGTCTGAAACCGAAGGATGTTTGCTGTCCTGACTTTTGTAAGGCTCAGCTAGAAGATTACATGCATTCAAAAATCTTGTAAGTGACCTGTCCAGCACCATGCATGCTTGGCGCTGGAGGAGGACTATTGTACAGCCAGCCTGCAGGCTTTGAACCTCACTTGCCAGTATTGCATATCAGTTATCCTGCAGGCAAGGAGTCAGGAAGTGGCTTTTTTTTGATGATAAAACTGAACTTACAGTAGGGATTTTGCAGACAGTAATATTGGTTATAGGTGTACCTATAGGTCTATTTGTCCTAATTATGTAGATAAAACTTTGATTTGCATAGCATGCCAAAGCCTGTTGCACTCTTGGTTATTGCTTACCAGAATAATGAGCTTGCCAAAATATTTGCTACCATAATTGCCTATGTTAGAGGAGAGCTTGGCTCCTGCAAACCAGCACGGGCAATATTTCCTGGAGTTCAGGGAAGGGGCGCGACCTCAGCTATCTTTGTGTGGCTCTGGGCTGGTTCCTTGTGGACCTTCCCCGGGTGGTCTGCAGCATGACTTTTGTGTCCTCCACTGTGGAGATGAGGAGCCGGTGTGGAGCAGCCTCCCTGCAGCGCGGAGCCTGCCTGCCGGGCTGGCAGGCCTCGGGGTTTGACCGCAGCATCACCCGGGAGGCAGCCGCTGCAGCGCGACGGTGCGTTAGGTAACGAATAATTGAGCAATACACGCTCTCACGGCTTTCATGAAAAAAATAGCTCCACATTTGCCTGTTTGTCTGTTAGCAAGCTTGTTTCAATATGCAAGAACGAACCCATGTAAAAACATGTTACTGCGTCTTTTTCATGCTTCTGTTTCCTTTCCCAGTTCTTTACCAAAATCCAAAATTAAGTTGCTACTATGTGTCTTACCAGGCAATAACATCATCAATGCATTTTAGTTCATAGAACATTTGAAGTGGTTTTTTTTAGATATGCCTGTTTTCCACATGTACAAGGGAAAGAGTTACACGGGGTAAAAAAATCAATCTCCAATGAAACAGATTAGATCCCTTTAGTGGGAGCCATGAGAAAAACAATTGCATGTCTAAATTACCAGTAGCATCACTAAAACTATATAATTGTTAAGATTTGCCTGAAATAAGAGTTAGATTTCATGTTGTGGCATGGATAAGAAATCTATTTTGCTGTCAACTCAAGCCTTCGTAGTATGGAAAAGCAGAAATTCAGTGAAAGATACTACCAAGAAGTTACATGAGTTTGGTCAAAAATTGTGCTGTGACAAACAGAAAGTAAATATTTGTATCCTGACTGTTCTTGTTCTTATGGAGAATTAGATGGGTTTATTTAAAGGAGTACAATGACTTATAATAGAAAGTGAAAAGCATATGTGCAGATTAAAGTACCTAAAAGTGTTGTTTATTCTAAAATCCTCTTGCATGCTATAAATCAGATAACAAAAAGAGGAACACAAAGTGGCAAGCATTTCAAAATTCTGTACCTTTATCTATGTATTAGGGCCCTCAGATGGTAATCTTAATTTCCCTTGGAAAAAAAAAAAAAAAAAAAAAGAAAAGGCAGATATATTGAAAAGGGAAAAACTGGGTGTACTCTGAGAAATAATTTCTAATTACCTGTCTGTATTTTTATGGAAACTGAAATATCATTTCTCATCAGTGACTTTTGCTGTTACAGAACAACAATTAGATAGTATAGTTAAATCATGTTGTTAATAATTTCCTCTGGTCCTAGCACAGACACACGTTACTTTTGTCTGAAAAAGAGTCAGATTCTGTTTGAAATAGATAGGGTTTTAATTCAAAACAGGAGCATTTTCTAATAGAGAAGCCTGCTAGTTCTGCCTTAGTTCATCACTGACTACATCCCACAACACGCGCTCCCTTCCGTGGGCTCTTGAAACTGTGAATAGGTAACGAACTGAAAACATTGGTATCTGAGTGTTTCTACAGTAACAAAAATATTCCTCTCTGACTGCAGACAGGGAAAGGAAATCTTAGAATGTTTTGGAGTATGAGGTACCCAAAACATTGGAAGCTCACCCCAGATTTCATTCAGACCATCTGAACACCTTGAATCTCTGGAACTGGAAGAAATTCTGAGATTTTCTCATGGAAGATTTGGGGTTTTTCAATACCAGCCACTAGTATTTACCCATTAGAATTGTTACACTTTTGTTATTGTTATTTACTTCTGAAGTTCTGCTTTTCAGCAGAAATTAAAAAGGAGGAAATAAGTCTTCTACTTGGACACATCAGAGCCTCTGAGAAGTATTTTCCATGCAGCTGATATTAAAAATAGCTTCATCGGTTGTCATTGCTAAAACTTGCCATCCTTTACAGTTCAGAATCCCTTGGCACACAGAATCCAGTAACTTAAAGCCTTTTGGAAGGGATAAAAGAAAATTTTGTAGGGGAGGGACCTGGTGGGGGGAATGCATGTGAATTTTTGTTGGTGGTGATTTTCATTTCTTTGCCCAGTTTGTCCATGAGGCTTGCAAAAGTTCTCTTCGCAAGGGCATCTATATAACAGTGAGTAACCCTGTAGCAGCTGCTGAAAGCCAGCACATGATTCCTTTTTCTTATCTGCACAGCATATTGAACACATCCTTTATGTAACTTTAGGAGCTTTATGCTAACTGCCATTGCTCGCTGCCAGTCAGTGTACATGGAGCTGAAAGACTGGCACAGTCTGGTGAGATCCAACTAAATGTAAAGGTTATACAATTACCAGGCTTTAGAGGTCTCTGCATAAGGATCTTCTAGTATCAGATCATCAAACTAAGGGAACCAAAATCACTTTGGAAGCTATCTGCTAGAGTTATGTCAACTCCTGCATGCTGGTGACTAACCCCTCTTGTATTGGCAAGCCAGTTATAGGAGTAGTGGTAATGAAAGTCTGCAATAGTGAACTTGTACATCCTCAGGTGGTTGTCATTGGGAACCTACCTGAAATATAATAGCTGGCTTTCAGGAAATGAGATTTTCAACCTGTATTGGAACCTTTGGGGCATTCCTACGCCCCTGCCTAAGCCAGCAGATACTTTAACTGTGAACTGTGGTTGTGCCTTGGTCGGCAGGGGAAAGCTCATGAAACTGGTGTGGGAAGATCCATGGTTCTGAGTTCAGGTATTTGCATGTTTGCAGTACTTCCTCTCAGCAGACCAAAGGAGTTCCCATCTGCTATGTGACGTTGCTTACCAGCACAGGAGCACGTATCATGATTTAACACATGTGGAGAGGCAGAGAAGTGGGCACCAGGAAGGCTGGAAGGAACATGAGGCTGCTTCAAAAGCCATTGGTATACCAATGTCCCAGATACTGGCTGTGATGCTGCAGACTGATGCACCCTGAATATGATGGCTGC